GGTGAACGCGTTACTCCCCGGAAAGGACAATAGCGCGTTCGTTCCCCACCGCATACACCTGCGGTCCGGAGTTTTGCAGATATCTCAGCATCATTGAAGTTATACTGATAGTCTTCTATTTAAGCTATTTCAAACAATTTGAAGAAAGCCTCTTCTACAAAAAGTATCAGCTTCAAGTTTTATCCCGCCATTGTGGCTTGGACGATGTGCTCCACGTGCCGTCATTGCTAAATGCTTTTTTAGAGGTTTCATTCTATAAGCGCTTTACTTTTACTCGTTGCTAATGTCACCAGCTTATTTTATCTTTTTAGTTTGTTGATAATCGCGGCGATCACAACTGTCTTCAATTCCTCATTGCTTGCCATACGTTCGAAACAAACTACAGGTTCCTGTCGGACAAGGAGGCTCTTGACGATGCAATGAGTATATATGACAAGTAATGATAACCTTTTTCACGTGTTCAACTTTTTATAGATAATATCCATGAATTCAGGTACATTTCAATGCAGGCTATTAGCCCGCTTAAAATTGACGATATGGTCCGGAGAACAATGGAGTCTGAGATTTGCACAGTCAGTGGTCGCCCTTCCCAAATGTCGTTTTACTCGGCTAAACGAGTTTGCGCTCTCAGAATTCGTGAAGTATGCGAAAGTGAAACACTCATTTGATACTGCACACTACCTTATCTTTCTGTAGCAACACATTTTTTTTGTAATTTTATTGTAGAGGTATCTCAGAAGATTCGTGCGATCGCCTGGTTACCATAACTACTTAATCGAATTGGAAGCTGATGTTCATAACACGGTTAGTGGCATTTATTTCCAATGTCGATATAGTGCAACAAATGACGAACAAAGTGGTTACTACCCCAATGATGCTGAGAGATTTGCAAAACTCCGGACCGTAGGTGTTTGCGCTGGGGAACGAACACGTCATTATCCTTTATGAAGCTAACGCGTTCACCACCACAGTATGCGAGTCCGTTTTGCCTTTCTCTCAGCCGTGTTTTATAGTAGCTTTCAGCATTCATCCGTCGACGGGATTGATCTGGCGATGTATTGGCAGACAGGAATCTAGCTGAGAAACAGGCGAAACAAAGGACCTGCATGGTGTGGTGGTGAACGCGTTAGCTTCCGAAAAGGGTAATAGAGCGTTCGTTTTCCACCGCAGACACCTACGGTCCGAAGTTTTGCAAACATCTCAGCGTTATTGTGGTTGTACTTCACATAATATCATGCCGTGAAAGTTGAAGTGGGCAGCAAATGAAAGTTAACAAAGTGGTTACTGTTTTTTTCCGCAACGCCAAAGTAAGAATGATATTCCGGTTCCAGATTGAATTACCTCGTCATAATCGTGAAGGATTAGCTGGATCATCGTCTTCTGATTCTACACCCGTTGTATTTGAACAACATTTTGCTGCACCTGAGTTCGAAAGAATCACATCCAAATCCTATCAACATCTCCCTCTTCTGAAAAAGCCAAACAGAAGCTTGTGGGTTTTCTTTATAGCATTACCCATTGAATGTGTTCATCACTAGTGTTGTCCTTACGTGCTAGTCTGCCACGTTCAGCCATGTAATAAGTGAAGTAGATTTAACTCGCTTTTCTATATCTTTGGTTCCTCTGAGTAGAATTCGTTTATAAATTTCACTACTTTAACCAAAAAGGCGTGTTTCTTTTTTAGAATTACGATTTTTGCAGGAATTTAGCAGAAGTGGATTGTATGGGTCGCTATCACGTTCTCTATGATGATTCTCTCGCTGTAGATAAAGATAGGGGTCCATCAAGGTTTCTTCCTAGCGTTTTTAGTTCTCAGTTTTTATTTCCTAGTTCGTAGACATAGACGTCTTCTGACGTAGTGACACTTTAAGCGTTTTAGGATTCGGCAAAAGTTGCGAAAGTATCTAGATAAAGCTACACTTAAAGAGGAAGAGGTAGCTCTCGAGGTAGCTCGTACGATTATTGCAGACGTACAAAATATGGTGGAAGCAGGAAGAAAATGAATCTCAAACTTGTTAACGGGAGTTTTAAGAAAGGGTTTGCAATGATGTATATGTGATATTGTTTGTTTTTAGCTACAAATAGTGTTTATATCGTGCCATTCTGACAGGTCCGGTTCTTTTTGACATTTTTGCCATATTCCACTAACTTTTTCTATTTTTTTTTTACTTACTAAGGTTGTTGTTGAAACTGTTTCACTTTTCTTTAGTAGTTTAAATAGTTATTCACTTGTCTAGGGTAGGTAAGTTAGTTACGAAAATACTTTATAATGCCGAAGATACTTTTTCGATTTGCTGCTCATAGTATATTAAAGGGGCAAGTAGTTCTCAGAATGGCTTAGTAGTATTCTTTGCAAAATTGCTCCGGGTATAGTGCGTTTTTAAGACAGTATTTGCATTTATTTAGCCATAATTAATGTCTCAGCATAATTTCAAATTACCGTAGAAGTTTGTTACGTCTGGTCTCAGTTGTTGAGTTTTATGTTGTATAACAGTTAAAAGAAAAATGAAGGTTCAACAATTTTATACTCAGGACATGACAACCCATGGCTAGTCGCCATTTCTCATCTAAGATGCCTGCCCAGAATTTCATTCGTTTGTTTCATTTTTTTTGTAACCATCAGCCACCGAGGTGGTTGGTTTCACGGCTGCAACATGAGGACTTGCCATAGGTTGGAAGCGCCATGCATTGCAATAAAAACTATTAGAATATAAAAATCTTCTCCTACCACATAAAAGATCTCTTGTCTTACTACGATGGAATTCTCATCTCTCCGAGTCCAAAACGTACATTCGAAAATGAAAGCAGTTGAACAGGAGGTATTTCGATCACTAGAGCACAAGAATGTCACCAAATGCGCTGTTGTTGTTCATGGTTGTCGGGATTTCGTTTGGATTCTTAAGAATTTAAGTTTCCATTTAACTGGATGTTTTAACTCTAAGCAGCTTCGAAAATGAAATGACACTTCTAATGAGTCAAATCTACTCTTAAATAGGTAAAGCCTCCACTATAAGCCTATCATGTTCTCAAGTCCTGACCTGTTCTAGTTATCGAGAAATCGTCGGCAGTTTGCGAAAACCAGCTTCAGATCCTAAATGTTAAGCCGTTTCGGCTCATCTCCACAGAAAAGTGTTCTTTCTCGAAGGATTCAGCTGTGTAAGGAACACGTAAGAGGGTCATAACATTTATCAAGTAAAGAAGATTTACCAGTGAAATGGTAAAATGGAGGAAATAGTCCTGTCAACGTTGATGCTTCGAACAAACAACAATCGCAACTAATAATCGCAATTTAATTTCGCTAAAGTTAAGATTGTGGAGTTAAGATTTTATGGGTGTGGTTGGAGGCACCCTGCAACACACATGTGAAATCGATCCCCGTGCCCATGGCCCATCAAGCCTTCCATTTCTTCGGAGTCGGCAAAATTGGTACCAGACTTGTCTGGGAGGATAGCAGCACTGACTCGATACACCGGTAGGCCACCATCAGTCATTGTAAAGGACAGATATGCATTCAATCACTTCCAAACGATGCTTAATGAATGAATGGCTTATCGCTTAGGGATTGATCAACGCCGAAAGCTTTAAGCTTTAGCTTTACAGTTAAGATTCTCGAAAGACTGGACATTTGAAAGGAATTGAAACAATAAGAAACCAGGTCGATGCCACCTTTGAGAACTTTTTTTTACTTCACTGAAATAAAGGAAAATGCTCATATAACCAGTGCCGAAAATAATTTGATTAAATATGAAAATATGGCATCGACCTGGTTTCTTATTGTTTCAATTCCTTTCAAATGTCCAGTCTTTCGAGAATCTTAACTGTAAAGCTAAAGCTTAAAGCTTTCGGCGTTGATCAATCCCTAAGCGATGCGCCATGCATTCAACTTCATTAAGCATCGTTTGGAAGTGATTGAATGCATATCTGTCCTTTACAATGACTGATGGTGGCCTACTGGTGTATCGAGTTAGTACTGCTATCCTCCCAGACAAGTCTGGTACCAATTTGCCGACTCCGAAGAAATGGAAGGCTTGATGGGCCATGGGCACGGGGATCGATTTCACGTGTGTGTTGCAGGGTGCCTCCAACCACACCCATAAAATCTTAACTCCACAATCTTAACTTTAGCGAAATTAAATTGCGATTATTAGTTACGATTGTTGTTTGTTCGAAGCATCAACGTTGACAGGACTATTTCCTCCATTTTACCATTAAAGGAGTGCCTGAACTACTCAATCTTCAGATGGTCCGGGAGGTATTACGCACAAATGAGAGGGCTGGCAATGGGACAACGACTGGCTCCAAGCCTTGCCATTGCATTCATGTCTAAGGTGGGAGCGCCAGTAATCGACCTCGGTCCGTTACTCTACTGTAGATATATAGATGACTGCTTGGTCATTTGTTCAACGCAAGAAGAAATCGATAGATGTTTCGAGTTGTTGAACACACAGTCAGAGTATATCAAATTCACCCGAGAGAAACCAAAAGCAGACTGGCTTCCATTTCTGAACGTGCAAATTAGCCTATCAGAAAACGGCTACATTACGAAGTGGTATCGAAAACCAAGTAGTAAAAACATCCTAGTTCATTACCTCTCCTCTCATCCCTCTCACACGAAAAGGACGCCTGTGAGAAACATGTATCGAACGGCTACCAGCGTGTGCACAGGAAGACAACAGAGAGAGGAGTCCCGGAACTTGGCGCGGCGAATAGCCATTTTTAATGGCTACGAAACCGTAGCTCGAGCTAGGTGTAGAGGAAACCACAGGTACACCCCAACGATAACTCTAGCGACAACAAGGTCCCGTTTATACTGCCCTTCATTTCAAATGAAGTAAGTGCAGCTATAAAATGCTGTTTAAGAAGGGCCAGTCTAGAGAATTCGGTAACGATAATCGAAATACCACCGAATAATCTAAGGCGCCAGCTAGTTCGTAACCGCCTATACGACGGTGTATGTGCAACGCAAAATTGCATAATTCGCCCCAATGGTAGAGACGGTGACAGCATGAGTTCGGGTACAGTCTATCTGATCTCTTGTAAAGCGTGCGGGGACGAATACGTTGGCGAAACGGGTTGGCCACTCTGCGTACGTATAAAAGAACACCTAGTCGGCAAACGTAAGCTAAGTACTCCACTAGTTACGCATAGCACGCAGAAACATAACGGAGAAGATTTTGAAGTAAGGGTTACGATCCTCGCGCAAGAATCGAGAACACAAGCGCGCAAAACTCTACAGGCATTCTGGATTAATTCCAGGAATCCGAAAATGAACCGCAGGGAGGAATGCCTCGTTATCACGCGTGATATTGGACAGTATATAAACCTGTTATTCTGATGGGAGGGGTACATTACGCTTTCATGTGAATTCTGTGTGGTCGGTCCTCACGCGACATACTCAGTGGAAGACTCATAGAAAGCGGTGAGTGTGCAGAGCTATGCTAAATGTGATTGAAATCTTGGTTTAGCGTTTTCTCTGTTTGGTTATGGAGGTGTTTGGCCGAGTGGATTGCTGTCAACTTGACCCTTCCAGGCTCTGAGGAAGGCGAAATTCGCCGAAACGTCAGCTTGTGCGTAAATAAGGAAATAAAATAGCACCTCGTGCTTGCTGAACAGAAGTAGAAAGATATATTCAATCAATGCCGAGGTTAATAGAAAGTCGGACTTGGGAATTTGATTAAAGTTTCTATTATTTTGTCGGATGTCTGGTGTTTTTCGTAGTGAGATCTCGTTTTCCATTCGTGACGGTAAGGATGCGGCTGGGACATTATTATCCGTAACAAAGATCTTTTCCCAATATAATGTAAGCTTATCAATAGATTAGAAGCACAAGACATCTCATTTTGGCGACTGCATGATTTCTTCTTAGTTGAACCTGTCAAGTTCATTATGTTCGAAGATGTTTATCCAAAAAATGCAATTGTCTGTCACAACACTTGTAAATCGCACAGCTATTATGATGACAATTCACTTTTTCACTATCGAGTGACGAAATGAAAGAATGTGCGGCCAGGTACCTCCTTTGAATGATAGTTGTGCTTGAGAACTATGCGGAGTGCTGGGCAGCTGAGACAGAGAGCATAAACGGTATCATCTCGTTCTCTAATGTCGATCTGTACATCTATGGATGAGCACAAAATGATTGAACCCTTCTCACTCAGTGCCTACTCATTTCAAAATTGACGGGACAAGTACTAGAGCGATCTGTTTATCGATCTACTTACTACAGATGGAAGTGGGAATGGAAACGTCAGCTGCTGTGATTCTTTCGAATCTCGAAGAATTCGTGGTGGACCGAGAAGATTCTCTACCACCTGCGAGATGGTGATCGCACGATTTCTGTTTGGAATCTTCTTCGAAGGGTTCCTTTGTTTCGGACGCTTTCTTATGCCCTTTTCCAAGGGAAACAGTACACGAATCGCTCGCACATCATCGTCTCCTGAAATTTCTTCATTGAAATGGTTGCATATTCAAGGAATCTACTCATTCAATTACTTTCGTGCTAAGCTGTAGCTCCGAAATAACCGAACCACATTAAATACGGCATGTTACAAGGAAAACAAATAGCAGGAAGTTAGAAAAAGTGTGAAAAGAAAGTGTAAAAGGTTTGGCGGACGGAGTTGATTGATTGAAGTTGCACGCCATTATTTAGTAGTGTGCACACTGCAACACATAATGGCCGATATTGAGTTACGTGTGAACCATACGTGTCGGGGCAAGTTAGCTCTCAGTTTCTTTTCATCTTTATCTTTTGCCCTTCAAAACATTTTTTCCCGCTGTGCTTCTTATATGCAGTCGACAGTTTCCCCAACACAGTTTTCACTTTCTGTCAATCGAATTTCGGACGAGTTTATTTGCCTCTTTTAATCTTGCGGAACGGTTTAGTGGTGTTGACGAAGTTACCAAGACAATATCGCTTGCTGGATTACCACATACCACAGATGAGGTAGGTGCTATAGCTGTTGCTAATCAGGAGATACTTAAAATCTGTTTAATAGGACATTTT